GATATTTTTAAAAAGTTTTTTTCACTGGATGTTAACTGTAGCTAAGATCTATTGGTATCCTATTGTATGGGAGAAGATGGAATTATTACTATTAATCTATACTGAGTTTTGTTTTTATAATTTTGATTTATTTTTTATCATGGTGTTTACCATTTCACCTGCAACCCTATCCAGACTCTTTCTAGTTGAGTGGGCTATAAAAGACATAATTTAAATCAGTAACTTCTATAGCTGCCTTCTATTGTCCTCTTGTGATCAGTAAGTCACTAGAGGCTAAAGTCAGGACCATTGTATTTTCAACAGGATAAATTTTGCTTCCAAACTCAATTAGCCTAATTGGGAGCAGACAAAGGTGAATAACATGATGGAAGAGGGATCACTCGATTGCCTAGGATGTGCCAACAGAAGCTATTTACAATTGTTTTAGAAAAGCAGTACTGTTTAAAAATGTAGTATAAAAATTGTTTAAAAATGGGCTGCCTTCTATTGTCCTCTTGTGATCAGTAACTTGAAAGCATGGCTTGATTTGAACTTCTCTATTCCATGAAACCCTTTTCTTACTATTAGTATAACACTCACAGCCTGCCAACAGAAACTCTAGTAAATTAAATGAAATGGGCTTCTAAATTGTGTGTTATTGACTTTTCAATTATACCAGTCATGGGAAGAAAGCTACCAGACAAGATATAGATTATAGGATCTCTGTCCCAAGAAAGATATGGAAACAGAAAGAAGGATCCAGAAATTGTTCTTATGAATATTTATAGAGCATTAATGAGGCATAGGGTGCCTAGGATTGATAAGATTAACAATAATAGTGTTAAAGCAGGGAAAAAACATCTCTCTTGATTCAAGAGAACATAAATTATAATGGTTATGGTATTTAGACTCTGAATGAACACACTGAAAGTCATATAGTTACAGGAACTTAATTCATTTCTTTGTTATGTCATTCTTCAAAAGGAAAAGTTTTCTTCCTTTTTAATTTACATTTGTTCAGAACTTTTCCCCAGATAGAAGGAGGTATCAAGACCACAAATGGAATGATTCAAAGTAAATAAAGTATATTTTAAAAAAAATCTATTGATACATCTACCTGATTGTTAGTACAATCCGGGACATAAGGAGGGAACAATATTTTCATTTCAGAAAATGATATCCATGCCATTCATTTTATTATGCCTTATTACTGCAATCCAGGGTGAAAATCATGCCTAAGTCCCAACTGAACCCAACATGGCTAAGATGCAATCAATATACCATACTTTTCAAAATATAAGATGCACTTCCCCTCCTAAAAGTGGGTGAGAATTGTGGGGTGTCTTATACACTGAATGTAGCTGAAGCCCTACCTACCCACTGCCCCCCACCCTTCAACTGTTTCAGCCTCTGCACATTGCCGAGGTGGCGCAGTGGTTAAATGCAGCACTGCAGGCTACTTCAGCTGACTGCAGTTCTGCAGTTCGGCTGTTCAAATCTCACCGGCTC